TCCCCTCCCCTCCCGCCGCCCGCAGGAGAACCGCAGCCTCACCATCAAGCTGCGCAAGCGGAAGCCGGACAAGAAGGTGGAGTGGTCCAGCGACACGGTGGACAACGAGCATCTCGGGCGCCGCTCCTCCAAATGTGAGTGCCGGCCTCGCCCGCCGCCCCGGGCTCACGTCCGGTGCCAGCGCCGCGCTCACGGCTTCACGTTCAACCCGTGACTTGTCCTGCCCGCGGCGCGGCACGGCGCGTCCCCCATGCTCGGGGCCGGGGAGTCGGCACGCCCCCGCACGGGGCTCCAGACTCCCCGGCCCGTGCGAGAGAGATGCCTCTGGTCGCCCACGACAGCTCCTCCGCCCGCCTCGCTGCTTCCCCGCCCGCGTCCTGGCCCCGCCAAGCCGCCCCAACACCACGAGGGAAACGCTCTGTGCCCCCTTCTCCGTCCTCGGGGCACCCAGTTTGCCTGACCCGGCGCTGGGCTGGATCTCGGACTGCGCGGAGGAGATGGGCCCCTGTTACTTGAGCCAGCCAGGCCCTGTGCCCTCCAGACAGGACAGGCCTCGTGCCCCATTGATCTTCTTAAATCCCTCTTCCCTGTCAGGAGCGTGGCGGCCTCGTCACCATCTCCTGCTGTCGGGGGGCGACCACTTTTCTCCCCTGCTGCGAGGGGCCGAGCAGCTGACCTGGGGTCAGTTGTGTAGGGGCCTGGCTGCTGCAGGGGTCACTCAGGGCAGTTGTGCAATGGGGTGTATGTAGCAGAAGGCCTGCAGAAGACGCCCAAGTCCCATCTCGGCCTCCCCTGTTTCTCAGAGACCAGGAGCTCTCCACCGGGTGTGGGAGGGGGCTGTAGAGCTGCTGCATGCAGGGGGCAGCTGTGAATCTTGGAATTGCCTCCGTTTCTCCGCCTTGCGTTGTCACATCCCTCCTGTCGTCCCCCTCCCCCCGTTCCTCCATCTCCCTTCCTGCCCAGGCTGCTGCATCTATGAGAAGCCACGAGCCTTTGGCGAGAGCTCGACAGAGAGTGAGGACGAGGACGATGAGGGCTGTGGCAACGCCCACTGCATCCGAGGCCACAAGAAGGGCCAGGGTGGGCGAGCAGGCGGGGGAGGAGGCAGCGGCAGCCCCCGCAAGGCTGAGCCACCGGACCACAGCCATGATGGAGCCATGGAGCACTGAGCCACCCCCTCCTCCTGCCCCTCAGGGGACCTCACCCCCTCCCCTCCCCTCCCTCCCCCGCAGATGGACTGATGGGGGCCAGAGCAGGGGACGCACGTGTTTCCGTCTGTCTGTGTGCCTCGTGGCCACGTGAGCTGCTGTTCTTGTCCGTCTGTTCGTCTTCGTGTGTGGCCAGTGAGTCCGTCTCGTGTCCTGGTATGGAATGTACTGAGCAACGGGGCTGGACGTGTCCCACCCCCACTTGGCTGATTTCTCTCCGCTTCTCTATTAAACCTTTGTATCAGTGACTGGGCCCTGCTGTTTTCTGGTGCAGAGGGGGAGCCGGCCACTGCCAACTCTGCTCAGGGTCCTGAACACCAGCTCACAGCCACTCCCCTGGCAGAGCTGTGCCAGCCTTCGGTGTTCCCCACCACCCTAAAGCACGACCTTTGGCCCTTGCTATTTCCCGTTTTATGGCTGCCGCTGGATATTGATTGTAACATATGTGAATGTATCCTGTTAAGGAAACCCTTTCTGTTTTGTTTTCCTACATGGTGCTCCTCTTTGTACAGAGGAGTCCTGTGGGCTTTATCTCAGAAACCTGGGGAAAAAGGGAAGTGATCTCTCTCTCTCTTCTCTGTCATATATTAGAAATTCAGCTCCCCTCTCTCCCCTGGAAGTCTCTATGGATGACTAGAGAACTGTTGCATTTGCAGCCTCCTGGCTACCAAGGAAATGAAACTCAGGACAGTGATTTGTATTTGATTTGGTACCCTTTATTGGCATCTAAATCTAAAAAAAAAAAAAATACAGAGGGTAAGAGTCTTTCAGCGACAGTCAGTTTCTACCCGTCTTCCAAGGTCTTCTGGTCCACATGTTGACCTCCTCCATGGAGATCTCCAGCAAAATGGGGAAGGCAAGACCTGACCAACTGATATTTATTTCTAAGATAAAAAGAGAAATTATCTCCCCAAGACCCAGTGCTGCACCTTGTTTTTTTTTTTCTTTCTGTATTACAAAGAATGAACTGGATTTCCTTTGCCCTGACTCTGTTGATCACCTTGAAAAGAGTCCTTTGCTGCACTTGGCCTTGCCCCTGTGGTTGTTGGCGTTCCATCACCCAGAGATGCTGGCATCTCGTCACCTGAGCTGTTGACATGCTTCCCCTTAGTGATGAGGAGAGAATGGGAGGCCTGGGTTCAGGGTCCCTGGCTTGAGGAAGGAGGTGAGGAGTTATAGGTAAGACCCTGCAGTGGATGGGGAGGCAGGGGGTGTAGCTGTGCAGAGGGGGTGGTGTGTGTGTGTGTGCGTGTGTGAAGGGGAGAGACTGCACACATGCTTGGCCTGCAGAAGCTACAAAGCATGCATTCCCTCAGGTTATTATTTTGCCCTTTGGCAATCTTAAATACCTCTGCAATGCTATTTTTCCCCACCCCCACCGTTAAGAGCTGTGCTATCTGCTGCCTTTCAACACTCACCAGTATCATGGAGCTTTTTTGCTTGTAATAAGAGGCAGATAAGGCACAGTGCCCCTAGAGGATAGTATTGTTGCTGTCAGGTTTAATCTCTTATCTTCCTGTAATTCTCAGTCCAAGTACTAAGATCTGCCGCATGTATGCAGCCCATTCTGGGGAGGAACATAGCAGCTGAGTAACACTTGTACAGTAACGCTGCACAGGAATTACTCATCCTGTTTGGAAATAGAACCACCTCTGCTCTGCACAGCCGAATAACAACTGTGCAGCAGTGCTGCAGATGGATCGACGATCAACAGTAAGAGGCATCTATCTGTAGGGAATGAGAGCTCCCTTACATTAAACACTATACAGAGATGTTTCACTGCATTGAAATGAATCCACTTCTGGCATGCGGTACAGAGGCCAGCTGAGAGCCAGACAGCGACCCTGCAGATGGGTGGCTTGCCCAGCACTAAGATACAGCCACCTCTGGTGTGCAGCACAGTAGGTACCTAATAGTTTCTTACAACAGCATAAGGGGAAAATGGAGGGGGCTGAAGTATTAAGAGCTAGGCCATGGCTTTGATTTCTGAGCAGCAGAGCCTGGGAGCTTAAGCACTATGTATGTGAAGTGCTTTGCTATATTTCATTCGGCTTCTGTTTCCTGAGACAGCATAGTGCTCCCTGCTAGCTTACTGGGAACAATGCTGATGAAGGGTATCTCATGCCAGCTTTGTGCTCTCTGGGAGGGAACCTAGGGGTCAGGACATGTAGAACTATTCTTTAGGTCATGCTACAGAGGCACCTGCTTCTAGACTGATTGCACGCGTTCAAACCTGGCTGTAGAACATAACAGATCACTGACTCGCAGCTCCCTGCTACTGGCCCCGTGCTTCCTGAGCAGCTAACACTGGAGGATCTAATAATAGCTGGAAGGGGCTGGAGCCCAGCCCAATCCCATCAAGAACTGTTTCCCTGCTTCTCTCACCTACAAGAAACATGCGGAGACAGGAAGGTTGTTGGTAATGCATCAAAAATCCAGGTGGAGTTTCCGATCCGCCTGAAGCCCCCCGGCAACCTGCTTGTGGGGACTGGTGCTAAACAAGCAGCCTTTAAGGGAAGCGCTTGGCACAATCCATCCTGGAGGGATTGCATTTTATGCATCAAGTTGGAGCTAACATTTGCCTTTTATGGGAAAATTCTAGGAGTTGCATTGTTCTTAGAGCAGACTGGGCCTGCATGTCAGGATTCCTGGGTCCTATTTCTAGCTGGGGGGAGGAAAGTGGAGTTTAGTGTTTACAGCTGGGGGTGGGGAAGTGGAATTGAAATTCCTGGGATCTGTCTCCAGCTTTGAGGAGGAAGTGAGCTTGCAGAGCAGGGAGTCCAATCATTAAGACTTGGCATCTATTCCCAGGCCTGGGAGACAAGTGAGGATGGGAGAAAACCGCTGGCACTTAGGACTCATGGGTACTACTCCCAGGTCTGTTAATGCCTTTTGCCAGTCATTTCCTTTATGCCTCAGCTGGTCTTCAAAACATAACTCCTCCTTGTCAGTGCTTCACTAGGATGAGATGAGAGTTGTTCCCAGGAGATGGACTCACCTTGGCCCCAAATGCACGTCTGACTTTGCTGGAAATTCCCCCAACTCGCATAAAAAAGCAAGACACAGGTAGCAAGGCCTGAGTGAAGCAGTGCTGGTTTCTGAGCCAGGTCTTGCCCACCTCTGTCACAGAATGAATGGTCCCCATCTCCCTTGTGAATTTATTTTCCAACTTGCAGTAGGGTAAAGGGCTGAGATAAATGCACATTAAAAATAGGCAGAGCGCATCAAACATAAATACAAGGCAATCCTGGTGGAGTCAGGGCTATGTTGGGGAAGTGGCATAAGTGCCCTTGTGGGAAGAGGGCAAGTAGAGTGAACTGAAATGCTGCAGGCAGGAGGAGTTGGGATATAGAGCCCTTCTCCCTGGGGAGTCTTGGCTCTGATCCTGCCCCAGGTCAGGGGCACACGCTGGCTCAGAAGGGTGGAGACTTGAACCTCAGGCTTTTCCCCTCCTAGGGAAGCTACCTTCAACCGATGGCCCCTGAAGTCCCATATGTACCCGATGCCCTGCATTAAGGGGAAATCTGGCTCTTAGCAGGGTCGATCTCCGAGTTGGCAGGCTGAGAACCGACAAGTCCCAGGAATCCCAAGTGCCTGCTGCTCTCTAAACATAACCCCTGAAAGTACCGAGCTGATGCTCAGCACAGGTTGCTGTATGTGCTTCTGCCCCAGCTCCTCTGCATGTGGCAGGTGGAAGACAGCTGTCATGACCCACCCTGACCCCCTCAAGAGGGGTGAGGTGCCTACATGTTTTGTGGGCCAGACATCCTCTTCTACCGCGCATCATGGCGAGAACAGCAAGCTGAATGCTCCTGTGGGCCCAAGGCACACCAGAAGGGGCACAGCATCCTCATGAAAAGCAATCAGTAGCTCCATGGTGTCTGAATCCTAGGAAGCCATGTGTCCCTCATCACAGTCCAAGATGACCTGTATCAGCAGCATGGACCTGGGGACACAGCAGCACCTAGTAGTGCCCACAGCTCTGCTCCAGGCTTCTCAGCTCACCCTTACTATGGGCAACTGCTTGGCAGCTTCAGGGCCTAGTCGTCCCCCAGGTCAGCCCTCTGCACCTCACAGTCAGAGGCAACAACCCAGCATCTCAGCACACCAGGGTCCCTCGGGCCTGTCCTGGAGCAAGGGCTGCTCAGAGGTCCAGATGGATGCTTCCAAGATGGTCCAAGAGGATCAGGCGGGGTCAAGCAGTGTAGAGATACAGAGACATGTCAGCTGCAGGAAGAGGAGGAAAATATGAACACTAATCACCCCTGTAGCAACAGGGATGGGCACGGATGGCCCACCTTGTGCTCAGATGCAACCACTTCTGGGGTGGAGTATGTGGGTTGCAAGGATTTCTCACCCTGTGCAAAATGCAGCTACTGCTGGGATGTGCCTACAGGAGGACAGCCCAGCAGATGTGCTCCACTGGGATTGCTCAGCAGAGCAGAGGCAGGTGCCTCTGAAGTGAGGCAATGACACTGCACAGGAAAGCACTGGCTCTGCACCAAGATGCAGCCACTTCCTTTATGAGAGGAAATAAAGGAGGACCCTGGCACCCATAGAAATAGCTGGGAGAGGAAGTGGCAGGGAGCCGCTTCATAGAGATGGGCATCATAGGGACCCCATCCCCTTTAGTCAGCAGCCCCTAGCACTGTACCAGGCACTAGACTTGGCACCAGCTGGGAAGGGAGACTGCGCCAGGCTGAAGCCCCTGTAACACAGTGCCCCTTAGTGCTACACAGGGACATCAAAATCAGGACAAGCTGCAAGGAGACAGCACTCCCTTCGGCCCCACTCCAGCAGCCTGGGTATCCCTCAGCGTGGGGAATGTTTCCATCAGCTGTGAGCAGTGCCCAACCCGCTCCATCCCTGTGGCCTCCTCCCATAAGCTGTTAGTGTCTGAGCTGCTGCCTCTCATCCTGTTATCATGGGCTCCCTGTCCCCGAGGGAGGGAGGGTGCTGGTTGCTTCTCTTCCCCAGTTCATCCCTGGGGACAATCATGGGTTGGGAAAAGCAGAGGAGGGCACGGGCTGTCTCATTCAGGTGAATGGTACATGCAAGGACTCATCCTTCCCAGACCCACCCACAAACCCCAGGAGATAGGGTCACTCACCAGCTGCAGATCTTCCCAATGTCCTGCTTGAGAGAAGACAGAAGAGATGGCATTACACAGAGGGACTTGGGATTCCTTCCAGCCCTTTGCCCACATTGTGCCCCCAATATCTGATTCTTAATGTATTGTCCACTCAGGAGATGAGCCACCCCAGCCCCATCTGCTCTGACTCCTGGGATGCAGTTTCTGCGACACACCCCTTTCCCTCCTGCTCCTACAGATTGCACCACCTCTCTCAGCAAAAATGACTGAGCCAGGCAGTTTCTAAGGTGCCACCCTGCCCTGCCTTCTGCCTGCCAGCAAGATGGGATTTCTGGCTGGACAGAGAGGACAGAGCTGTAGGTCCCTGAGACATCTTTGCAGAGCAGGAACAGCACAAAGCAAGCCAAAGGGCCTCAGCAGTAATGATGTCTCTCAAGCTCTCTGTTGATACTGCGGTATAAGGAAAATAAGCCCTCACTTTAGTCACTGGAGCCCACCTTCCCATTTCAGAACCCAGGAGTCCTGGCCCCCAGTTCTCCCTCCATTAGGCCTTGCTCCCTCCCAGACTGGGGGACGGAGCCCAGGAGTCCTAGCTCCCAGGCCAAGGGGAGAAAAGATTGAATTGGGAGGATGCAGCCCCTGGACACACGGGGCCACTCGTGGATATACTATATAGCATTAGGACACATTTTAGGATGAGTGCAAGCATATGTGTGCACACATGCATACGTGCATACACACACCCATACACACACCCCACCCACAGTCAGCCCTGTTCTTAATGGCAATTATGTTAGACCTAAATACAAAGTATCCCTGCTCCATGAAAGTCCTCTGCAGAAACTCCCAGCTGGTGGCTCTGGAGAGCAGGTGCTCCGATCAACTAGGGAGACAGCTCAGACTCCAGCAGGGAGATGGGTTTGCTGAGCTGTAGAGGAAAGCAGGGAGAGCAAGACCTGAACAAAGGAGAGGGAGTGACTCAATTTTCACATCTAGGCTACAGGTCAGAGCCTCGTGCTGCTCCATAGAGGGAAAGGGACATGCCAATGGTATGGCACATCATCACGTATAACACATCAAATTCTTTTTGCCAGGTGAAATGAAACTAGATACTTTACTAATAAGCTAAGGGGCTAGCCCTATACTATTTAGTTCAAGATCAAAGCAAAAAAACCAAATGTAATTGTTAGAATGTGCGCTGATTTGCTAGATTGCATATATAGGTTTTAAAAATGCAACTGGGCAAAGTATTGTGTCCTTAGTCCTGTCATCATTATACTTAAATATACATCTCGCATTCAGATTCATAAAACAAAATCTGGCCTTCTTGAGCATCTTGACAACACCTTCACTGTCGGTTGTGTCTACACCTGTGTTAATATTACTACATCTGAGTTAAGTTTTTTAAGTAGAGCTGAGAACAGTCTGTGGGGCTGTGAAATAGGAGAGAGAGAGAGAGCGAGAGACATTACCAGAAATGCCTAACAAACAGCAAGATTGCAGGAGAAAGGATAGTAGAACATTGATACTATTAAAAAGAAGAGGTGGTTATTAACACTCCTAGAGTGGAGAGAGATTAGCAGGAAGGACAAAGATGATAATAAGCTACAAAATTATTGACTCCACATGGCCTGAATAGGAATGCCTCTGCCCTTCCCAGACAATTGGTTTTAATGTCTGGGTGGAGAAGAAATTAAAGGGGGGTGCAATTGTATCCATGCACCCCCCCTTGGATCCACCCCTGGGAGAGTCCTCCATAACTCCTGGCAGTGCAAGTCAAACATGCACCTCTGACTACAGCCAGCAGGAGGCAGGAACTCAGCTACATTAACAATGTTCAGGTCAGGCTAGACCTGAAGGGAGCAGGATTCACAGTTTAAGGTCTACCCATCTCTTTTCACCTATGTCCTGGCAGCCTGGGCATGCCATGGGGTGACAGAGAAGACAGGGCAGGCAGGGGCTGGAGAAACCATAACACTCCCCTTGCAGGATGTGAACAGAGCACCTGACCCTGAGCCATCCAGGTCGTCATAGAGAACAGGTCCGCACTCATCTATTGCAACCAGATGAGGATGAACAGCCTCAAGACCTGGAGGTGGGAATGCCTCTGAAATCTCTCAGGAAGGTGCTTCATGATTTTGATGCCTGGTGATCTGCTAGATCAGCTGCAGACAGCACATGGGGCAGAAGTCTGGCCAGGAGACCATCGGGGCTTCATTCTCCTCCAAGAAGTACAAGTCCTTGAATCACCCAATTAGAGGCAGCATCACCTTTACAAAACTAGCTGGTCATGTCCTGTAGTCCAGCATGGAGAGGCCTGTCCAATCCAAAAGTCCCCCGTGGATGGTCATCGCTATATGACTGAGTAGACCCAACCACGCTAATGAGTTTCTCATTGAAAAAAAAATGCAGTTCAGTAAAATCTCAAATGTTCGGTAGGAATTTTGGTAACTTTTTAGATGGGAAACGACATCAAAATGTTTTGTTTTGACATGGCTGTCTTGCTTCATTTCCTGTCCCAACGGGGCATGATTGTCCACTGTGACCTGTTCCTCATCTCTAACATAACATAACATAACATAATGTTGAAATAAATCCAAATGACATGATAAAAAAATGCCCTGACTCAAGGTTTTGTGGAATTTTTGTTTCATGAAGAATTTTGGGAATCAGAATCACATTTGAATATTGAATTTTGAATCGTCCCAATTCAAATCTGAATTATTGGTGAAAACCATTTGAAACAGCATGTCCTGAAGAACTGAAACCCCAGTCCCTGATCAGCTCTGGGTCTTGAGTCCACAGGGGGCAAAGTCAATATTTGTTAGTTTGCCCACAGGCAGCAAGTGTTCATTTCCCATGAAAGGAGGCCAATAAATTTACAGCTGCTCCTTGGAGGCAAGGGGCCTTTAACTCAGAGGCAGAGGCAGGTGGGGGGCTTTGAGGTCTAAGGGCCACAGGTTCAAGAAAATGGCAGAGGGTGCTGAACAGAACAGGTGGGAAAAGTGAGAGAGGGAAGAACAAAAGGAAGGAGAAAGCTTGGAAAGAGGAAGGCCTGGGTTTGTTGGAGCTAACCAATAAGGCCCATACCTGAGTTGATCCTTTAATGCCCTGGACTCCTGGCACTAGCTGCTGTTGCTTCCAGGAATTACTAAATTAGTAAATTCCTGAAGGTTGTGTCTACTGCACTTGCCATACATGGGGATGGAGAGCGCGTGGTGAGCAGAAAGGCTGTGATTCACCAGGGAATGTGGCCGGACTGCCACGGCACAGCTGGCTGGGCCATGGCCAAGGGCGTGCCCCGTGGCTGAAAACGTGATTCCAGGATGCTCCGTGGGCCAAGGATGATGTAACAGAAACAGGGCCTGAGGGCGAACTGTGTATTTACATTCCACGCCTTGGCCTGGCCCGGCGCCATTGCACATGGGATCCAGGCCCACCTGCGTGTGCAGTCAGGTCTTCACGGCAGGGTGGGGCAGGGAGCCAGGACTCCTGGGTTCCTTTCCCAGCTCCAGGAAGGACGGGGTGCCCTGTGGATGTAAGCAGCTGGGACGGGCATCGGGACTGCTGGATTCTTTTCCTAGCCCCAGTTATGGGAGGGTGGCAGAGCTCTGACACCACCCATGGACAACACACATGCGGGGGGCACCAGCGAGGGCCTCCCAGCCAGTGTGATGCAGTCAGCCCCAAACCCCTAGAAAGCACTCTGTGGTTCACACCACTGAGCACTTCCAAGAGCAGACAGTTAAGGTGCTCGGGTGTCCCAGTGCCCAGGGCACCTGGCCCACTTTTGTCTGGTGATGCTGCCCCATGGTGTATTAACAGAAGCTTCTTTGTGGTCATGATGAGCAGCCCCATGCCCAGTCTAAGGCCTCACTACCTCCCTCTGTTCAGCACAGTCCTCTGCTCAGCAAGCGTTCCCCTGGAGTCAACTCATCCTCCGGGAATCCTTAAGCAGTCTCCAACAGTAGCAGATGGGACCAGCCATGCCAGAGACACCCCTTGGCATCTGAACAGCAACCCCTCCTCTAGCAGCCAGGATCACCTCTACCCCTCCTAGGCCCAGGTCTGGGCCACATGGGGAGCAGCTGTGGGATGGTCAGAAGAACCAAGTACATGCCTGGAGAAGCTGGGGCTGGTGGCCCACCATCAGCTCATACCTGGCTGCCACTGGAAGGGTCACATCCTGCTCCAGGGATGGGGAGCAGAGGTACGGGGTGTGACCCTCCTCTCACTCTCGTACACACAGAGCAGGGCTGAGATATTCCAGCAGGAGGCTGCCGCACACAGGCATGCACGTGCACACACACACAGAGGGCAGAGCTGATCCCCTCCGACAAGGAACAGGCGGTCACATGCATGTGCGTGCGCGCGCACGCATGCACGCACGCGCACACACACACACACACACACACAGCAGGGGTACATGCAGGTGCTGCGTATCATGGGGGAAGCCAAAGCACCGGAGTACTGATCAAATCACTTGTCTCCTAGGGTGGGGCAAGGACAAGCCCCTCGGGGCTCAGGTGGGGAGGTTTTGCGGGTAGGGACACGCCAGGAGATGTTTTGCCAGGTCTGCCAGCTTCCCTGCCCTTTGCTGATAAGAACCAGCTAAACTGTCCCAAAGGCCTGAACTGAGCACCCTGGTGAAGACTCCTGGTATCACCACCCCTGCAGTGGCTCAAATCAATTAACTCCTCTTAGCTGGGGTCCCCGCCTCCCACAGAGCAGGTGGGGCGGGAGGGTAGTCTGAAAGTCAGGGGGGCTCCTGAACTTCCCCACCAGTCCCCATTGTTACCCCAATGCCTCTGTGCAGTAGATTGCATACCTTCTTCTCCACCCTTAACCCCCATTATGCTTGTTTGGGGGGCCCCTGATTCAATCCCTGTCCTCCCTACTGCAGCAAGGAGTCTCCCAGATAACAACCCTGCTTTTCCTATTGCTTCGTACCTTCCTCTCTGGAATGACAGACACGGGGAGGCAGCCCCTGCGCCCTCGCCGGCACTTGGGGGTCAGAGGGTCCTGGGCTGTCTTGGCGCTGAGGTTCTGGGCGATCTTGACCTCCACGGCCAGCTTGACGTGGGTACGGAGGTTCTTCTTCTCAAAGACCCTGTGGCACTGGGGGCAGGACAGGACCCGCGCACCATCTCGGGCCCAGAAGCCCGTGATGCAAGCCCGACAGTAGCTGTGGTCACAGTCCAGCAGCACCGGATCCTTGAAGCGGTCCCGGCACATGGGGCAGATGGTGGAGCGGTGAAGCTGAGCGACAAGCCCCATCCCTTCCATAGCTGGGCTCCCTCCTCCTTGAGCTCCCGCCTGCTCCTGGCATTTTATACAGGGAGAGGAGGAGCCAGAGCAGGGCTGGGCCCTGCAGGTAAACAGCCCCTTGCGTCACCAGGTGGTTTTTCCATGAGCAGGGAGACCTGGGCACCGGAGAAGGCAGCAGGGGAAGAGGGCTGGCTCATGAGAGGGGCTATGCAAGGGGTGGAGGTGGGAGCCAGGCCTCCTGGGTTCTGCTAGCAATGCAAGAATGGCAGCGAGGTCTAGCGGTTAAAGTATGTCCGGGGTATGGGGGCTAAGAGGGGTTCTTGGAGGGGTGTAGAGACGAGTGGTGAAAGCAGGGAGAGAAGACTGACTCTGACTTGTCTCCTGGGGAGGGCATGGAGCCTTCCCGCTATCAATTCTGGGACAAGGAGGGTGGAGAGGCCCGGCCAGATCTGCCCCACGTTTCAAACCACCACCCAGTCCTACTGCCAGAAATCAGTAGCAGAGGGCAGTGAAGACCTAGCCAAAACCACCTGGCAGAGAGACACTTGGCACAGGATTTTTCAAGACCCCCACAGTGGGGAAATGGACAGTGGAGAGGATGTTGAGACAACCAGACTGGAGGACAGCGGCGAGGGCAACAGCAGCCGCATGCCCTCCAGTGAAAGCAGCAGTGGAGGAACTGAGTTTTTAACCCCGTATTTGGGGACAGGACAAGGAGACATGGGGGGTGAGGGAGACGCTGCCTTGCGGGCGGGTGCGCAGGAGCGCCGGTCCATGGGTGCGGATATTGTAACCAGTGTGCGGGTTCCTGTGGTGGGTTAAGGAGACAATGATCAGTAACTAGAAGGCGTGTACATTTATAACCTATATCTATGTATAAGTATAGATATATATTTTTACCAAGAAAAATAATCAAAACACTGCCCAGCTTTTGCTATTTGCCCCCTTGCTGTAACCACTAGACCCTGGTCCCCCTCCTTGCACTGCACATACAACCCAGGAGCCCTGGTCCTTCCCCCGAAGCTAGAGGGCAGGAAATGTTGTGTTGAGTTAAGAGTAAGGGTGAAAAAAACATTCCTCCCATAGCTGGAAGGGGTAGGGTGACAGCGGTGGGGAGTGCTGGGGCTCAAGACTGGACAAATGCACCTGCCTTGTGATTACAGGCCCCAGGGTGGAAAAGAAAGACCACAGGTCACTGATAGGGAAACTGAGTCACAGTCTGGACCATCAGGGTCTCACCGTGAGGGGCAAAGCAGGATCGGGAGTCCTGTTTTAGCCTCCTCTGGCCTCAACCCCCTGGTGCCTATTCCTGACCATGAAGACTGATGCTCTAACCACTGAGCCAACTGCTCCTTTTGGTGCATGCCTTTCGAAGCAGTCACACACAGAGGTAAGGTGCCCTGGTGTCACCCCCACTTCCTCACAGCCCTGTAAGTGTCCCTGCCAGGCTGGCTGCCATGTGCACTGTGGTAGTGTCCGTGGGGCCCTGCTGAGATGGGGGCCTGGCTGTGTCAGGTGCTGCACGGGCAGTGGGAGGTCAGGGCCCTGCTGTGAGGTGCGGCACACGCACG